CCTGAGGGTTACTCAGACCCTAAAAGAATTTACCAGGAGTATCACAAATCCCAGGAATATGAATGAATTAGTTAATAAATGGTGCTGAAATTATAGTTTACAACTGGAAAAGAACTTATATCCCCATTATGCTATAAACCAAAATCCTAGATAAACATTAACAATGAAAATTTTTTAAAGCTCTGAAGGGGAGAAGATGAAATTGAAAAGGCTCAAAAGAATGGAAAATACACGTGACTATATAGAGACTTAAAGCTATAAAAGGAAAAGGATCAAAGTTTAAAAAAATATGGCAAACAGCCCATATAAAATTAGAATAAAAGTCTGGATCATCATAAAGGGACCAAAGTCATAACAATTCACAAAATAAGTGTAACTAAAAGTGGCAAGGGATATTTAACTTCACTACTATTTAAAAGAGAAAAAAAATCAATGAACTGCTAATTAGTAGACAAATTTTGAAATACGTGGTTATGGTATTAGCATCATTCACACAATGCCTGGTAATGTTCAAAATCTTCAGAGTGCTTATATGCGCCAGGTTCTGTTCTCAGTGCACTACATACAATACAGTACAACAGCTCTGGGGTAGATGCTGTTATTTCACTTTACAGACGAGGAAACACACCCACAAAAGTAGCCAGAAGTACACAACTGGGAAAAGGGAGCTCCAAGGATTCCAAGCAAGGCAATCAAGTAAATGCACAGTGAACGAACAGGTAATTGAACACTTTGGCTGTATTTTAATTCAGAACAATCCTGTTTTTTTAAAGAAGGGATTCACTAACCCCTTACAGTTAATATAACCTAAGCGTAAGGAGTGTGTTGAGGGGAGGATAAAACGATTATGAGGGAAAAAAGCAAGGCGTAGGGATGTTTGGTTCCTCATTACTAGTTACACAAAATTCTCAAAACTGCAATGGGACAACCATTTAAAGCCTTGTAACTAAGGACGATCATGAAGACTACAACGCCAGGAAAAATGCTCGCAGTAGAAAAGAACAGGGACAAGAACGAGAAAAGGGGACAAGCACAACACAAACTAAGAAATTAACTTTTAAATTTTTAGAATTTTTCACTATACGCACTAAATCTCAAAAAGAATATACTAAAATAGTTTTCTTCCCTCACCCCCCAAATCCTTTCATTTAATGAAACTTAACCACGTGTCAGGAACTGGGCTAAATGCCTCACCACCATCTCATTCTTACAACAACCTGTGAAGCAGGAACTGTTATCCTGTTTTCACGGATGAGCAAACTTAGGCTAAGACAAAGCGAAACTGCCTTGAGCTTCAGTTCCGACTGCCGGGCTCCCGGAGCCAGCGGCAACTGTCGCCGGCGCCTCCCGGGAAACCGAGCTCGCCCCGCCCCGTCACCGCCCCACTTCCGCCCCTGCGCACTGGGGCTCTGGCGGACCGCGCTGTCTGGACGTGATGGCAGCTTCCCGCTTACCCCCAGCGACGCTAACGCTAAAGCAGGTACCAACTATCCTCACCGGCCTCTTAGGGCAGCTTTACTGGGTCTGAGCTCGATTCTCTACCGCCCCCTGCACCCATTCTATAGAGGGGTCTCGGGGACTACTGGGGCGGACGACCCTGCGCGCGCCCCACTCTGATTGGTTCGGGCGGGGGGCCGACGGGAAGTGCAAGGGGGTTGGGGCTACTTTCCAGTCCTGGTGCAAGAGGCGGGCCGGGCTCTTGATCTTGAGCCCGGATCCCCACTGCCTAGGTGACTGCGGGAAGGACTGGTCTACTGCTTGTACTCTTGATTTTAAGTTTGACAAGGGAGTAAGGAGACAACGCAAACAAACTTCTTGCCGTCTTAAAAAAGGTGGTTTTCTTTCCCCTTTTCAAAATTGAGAACCAAAGAGAAAAGAGCCTACCGGGCTGACGATTGTGCAGCTGTAATTGCCATTTCTCCTCCCCTGTACAGTTCGTGAGAAGGCAACAAGTTCTCCTCCTCTACAGAAGGATTTTGCAGGCAATTCGGCAAGTTCCAAATGATTCTGATCGCAAATACCTGAAGGACTGGGCAAGGGAAGAATTCAAAAGAAACAAAAGTGCCACCGAAGAGGTGAGACCAAGATCATGGTGATGGTAGGCCCTGACCCTTTTGTACTGATTAGTGAGTTTTTAAAAAAAATTTGATAGATATCTTGGGATATGTCACTGAGATGGTATATCTTGATCATTGCTCTTGATGTTACTGATTTTTCACTTAACTGATATTTTAAATTTAACAATGTTTGCTATATCTACACTCTACAGTAGCACCACCCAACTTGTCTGTTAAACCACACACACATGAAAAGATAATAAATATTACAGCATGATGGTTTGGGAAGTATGTGTGGGGTTATGAAAGCATGCCAGACATTGTGTACCCCTAATTGTTAACTTTTGGCTTTCCTAAAGGGCATCAGTGCCAATTCTCAGTATTAGTTCCTAATTTTAACAAATAAAAATGGTAGAGCTGTACCTTGTTTAACCAGTGAAAACAGTGACCAGATTTCACTTTCTTCTACAGGATACAATCCGGATGATGATTACTCAAGGCAATATGCAGCTCAAAGAGTTAGAAAAAACACTTGCTTTAGCCAGATCTTAACTACAGCATTATTCTGAAAGGTTTTCAAAGTCTCCATGTGTTTAGTTGAGCTTAGGCTCAACAGTGGGTAGCCCAAAGCCAAGTGAAACTATCTGTACATAGAACCCTTGAGCAAAATATCAGAACATGGAGCATGGCATATCAGAGAGAGCCAAGAAAAGGGCATAAGAGCAATTGTCTTAGCACTGAAAACATACCTTTTATTTTGAAAATGTTCTTGGATATGTCAGCAGTTTTTGGAAGAAGCAAAAACCAGTACGATAGCACATAAAAAGATGTTCAACACCATTAATCATTAGGAAAATGCAAATCAAAACCACCAAGAGATACTATTTACATCCACTAGAATGGCTATAATTAAAAAGGAAGATAATTGCAAATGTTGGCGAGGATGAGGATGCGGAGAAACTGGAACCCTTAAACACTGCTGGTGGGACTATAAAATTGTGCAGCCACTTTGGAAAAAAGACTGTCAGTTGCCCAAAAGGTTAAACAGCATTATTCATAATAGCCAAAAAGTAGACCATCCAAATGCCCATCAGCTGATTAATGGATAAGTAAAACGTGGAATACCCATACAATAAAGTATTATTTAGCAAACAGAAAGGGATGGAGTACTGATACATGCTACACCTGGATGAACCTTGAAAACATTAAGTGGCCAGTCACAAAAGATCATGTATGGTATGATTCTATTTATATGAATGCACAACTCTGAATATACTAAAATCTGCTGAACTGTACATTTTACAGGTATGTGAATTATATCTGAATAAAGCCATTTTTCCCCAATTTTTTTGAAATATAATTGATATATAATATTGTGTAAGTCAATTAAGCTGTTTTAAAACAGTGTGAGGTATAGGGCTGGAGGTGTACTGACCTCAGGAGACACCATGGAGCTTCCTTGGAAAGTCCTTCTGCATTAACCCTCAGGGTTGTTGAGGTATGTTCTTCAGATGTGTTGCATCTGATACTCAAGAGGACTTTCCAAAAAGATCACCACTGGGAATCTAGAACTTTGTAGGAAAAAGAAGAAAGAGAAGTTTAACAAATGCACTGAAGCACCTACCAAGAAGAAGAGGCAACTCCTGGTCAAAACGAATGTGGTTACCTTAATATCCACATGGAAAGTAAAATAAATCATTAATTAAGGAAGCTCCTCAGTGCATTAGGTTCTCCTCCAGTGACAGGAAAAAACAGAGTTTGAAGAATACATTGGAGACAGAAGTTGACTTCAGGACACTTTTGAAAGAGACCAAATGTGTTTAACAGTTAATTTAGTGAAAGTGAAAGCTCGTGGAAGAGGCTGGGATTGGCAGTTCACCTACAGAACAAATCTAAAAAGTTAATCCAAGAACCAGAGTTAATCCAAGAATCTACACCTGAAAGATGTAGAAAAACTTTTGCAGGATAAACAGTGTCTAGTGTTGGACCGTGTGCCATTGGAGAGGTGTAAACCAGTGGTGTGTCACTAACCTGCATTCCGAGCCACCCTTGCCCTTCCACAGCTCCAGAACCCACAAGACAAAAATAATTCTGAATACTCTGCCACCGGGGGATGGGCTAATCTAAAATGCTTACATAAGCCAATTTTCAGGTTTTTATATAGATGTACGTTAATCAAGCCATCTGATGAACAGAGGGAAAAGCATGTGTGAACAGTTTCTGAACAGAGAACCTTAGAAAGACTTACTCTTTTGTGTAGCATGATTGGCAAATACTCAAGTACAGGCTATCTAGTAAATCTAAAATCTTGAAGCTAAAAACCATCCTTTTATGAAGCGTGACAAGCAGTGACTTTGATGTTCTTCCTAGAAGCACTGTATGTGGAAGATGTAAGAGCATTTGTGGTTTGTATTTGCAAGAATCAAATACCACAGACTCTCCAAGAAAACCTAATGTGGGGTTTTGTTTTGATTTTGTTTAAGTGAATAAAACATGAAAATTTGAATTTTCATCTTCCAGAGACTAAGACTATTCTCGTGGACAAGCTTTTCCCTTCCTCTCTAAAGAACAGTTTAATTTTATTTGTTCACTTACATCTTTGCGTATCTCCTGAATTATAGGCCAAGTCCGTTGTTTAAGCCCAAGAGAAGATCTGTTTAGCAATTTCTTCTCACATGTGGAACCATGGTCATTAAGATGTTGGCCAGAATAGAACGCTGGTGAAACACATTTTTTTCATCATCTTCATCAGTATTTTGGATTAGGCAAATTTACTGTCTGGGTGTTCCCTGTAAACTAACTATACTGTTGTTTGAATGCCGAAGTTTTGTTCCTAAAGTTTAAGATGTCTAAATGTTCAACTAATGTATATTAACTACAATAAATGCATCTTTAAACCCCTTTATTATTATAATATCTATTATATTATCTAAATTATTAGAATTGTTTTAAATACAAAAGCTTTCTAGCATGAGAAGTGGCTAAGGCTATTACTTAACATATCGACTGCCCCTGTGTCATTTTTTTTCCCCTTTAAAGTGTGCCACTGAAGTTTTAAATTCGACAAGACGAGCTTACAAACCTGAAAATAAACTTGAGAGAACATCAAATAAATTCCCTGTCCAGGTTTTGTAATGATGACATACATCTACATTTATTAGGAACGCCTAGATCCATAGATTGTCAGTATTCAAAAGAACAAACCAAAAACAACTGAGCTTGATGGGCAGAACACATGCATACTTTTGTTTTTCTGAGTGTTCCCATGTCAAGAAGTCATATTTTCTCTTTGGCTCAATGAGCAAAGGTTCATTCAAAAATTACAGACAACAGTTACTTGGTTCCTCTGTTTATAGAAATAGAATCGAGGTTTCTATGCATATATGGAATTTTGAGGAGATGAATATAATGCCACAAGAGACAAGAAGCTTGGAAGATAATTAAATCCAAAGTTTCAACATACTGTTACTTTTGCAACTTTGTATACTCCATACAGTAACATCCACAGGGCTCCCTGAAGCTGGGGAATCCAAGTCAATTTATTGCTTATTTACCTTGACATAGTTGCTACAAAGCAGTGGAAAGCTTTTGAGGTTCTTCAATGACAACTCAGTTCAAAATGAAATACTTTCAAGAAACAGCCTTATTTCTTTATAAAATGTAGACCAATAAGCTCACATTCAGAAAAGTACTCTAAGATAACTGGCTGTGAACTAGGTTATAGAAATTTCAGGTAATTGCTACGTGAATGTTTTTTCCATTAATCCACTTTAAAGCCACTATGATTAATTGTACTGTTTCTTTCTTTTGGCTGAAAGATACAGAAACCATGATCCAATGATCTGAATCTTTCTCGTTTGAGTTCATGGACATTCCCAGCGCTATTATTAGCCAATTAACCCATTATTTAAATACACTCTGACTTTTCAAAACATTTTACGATATACTGGATCTTGTGACATCATGAAAATCCTTCTCCTCAAAGTTTCTTTGGTGAGTTTTCCCTGGTTAAGATGTCAGCATTTGGGGAACTATGAACTTGAGGGAATTCAGCGTGTCTGTTACAGCTCTTACAGAAAGACACTGTCCAGGCACAGCAGGCATGTTGATATGAATGACTGCTTGACTTGAATGCACAGGGATTAATATTTTTTCTTGCTTTTCATTTACATTATTTCATATCCTGAATATTGGGGTTTAGGCTTACACATCCTTCAGTTTCTTAGCACAGCTCGCTTAATCTGAGCTTTTGAACTTCAGATGAACTTGAGCTGAGGTTTCAAATCTGTAATGAAACCTGAAACCAAGTGTCCCCTAGTTTCAGTCTAATTGTTGAAGTCTTCACAACTTCAGGGCATAGGAAGCATGTGTCTGGCACGTTTTAGAAATTAGTGATTTTTTTAAAAGGCAAGGTCTGCTATGTGTACAATAACTGACACCTCCGACATAGCTCTTCTGCAGCTGCAGGACCGGAAATCTTCAGGAATCCTTGCCCCCCGCCCTCCCCACGGCATGCAGGATCCTAGTTCCCAGACCAGGGATCGAACCCCCGCCCCCTGCACTGGAAGCACAGTCAACCACTGGACCACCAGGGAAGTCCCAGGAATCCTTTCTCGTCCCACTTCCCAGGCCCTAGTTTTCCTTGTGTACCTTAGTCCTTAGTTTAGCAAGTTCCTCCTCTAAACTTTTAATGTGTTCCTCCAGCGTGGCCTTGTCTTGCTGGGCTTTCTGACTGGCTTGGCTTCGTGCTTCTTCAATCTTCCTTTCATACCACTTTTCCATCTGGGTGGAAACAGCCTCAAAGAAATACTGGGTGAGCTCCAGCGCTTGGGAGGTGTCCCGAGTATGAGGGGCAGTCTGCTCGCCACCTGCTGCTGGTGGCGGCTGCCCGCAGGTGGTGCTGGGTGCTGGCTGCTGGCCGCGGTGCCTCGTCTGCCCACTTTTCCCAGACTTCTTGGTTTGGGTGCCTCTGTCAACACAGGGCCCAGCCTGCGGCTCACACTTGGCTGCCTCTTTCAAGGGTAACGAGGCTGTCTGGACCTTGACACTCCTCAGTCGGGAGCCTGCACAGTCCAAGGAAGACAGCTCCTGCTGGAGTCTGTGGGCGGCTGTGGAGCTGAGGGCCTTTTCCTTGGGCCTGACCACCTGAGGGGGGCTGTCAGAGGCTGCTACTGGACCTGCGGTCACCACTGACTGATCCACACCTGGTTTCGGAAGGAAAACAAAAGTGAGAGCGAATCCGTGTTCATACAGTCACATGGGCTGGCATTTGAGAGTCCCGGGAATCCTGTAAACCAGGCTTCTCAACCATCACCCACCGTGTGCAATTTCTGTCCTTCCCCTCCACTTCTCCCCTGATTATCATCTTGGCTTGTCAGGGCTTTCAGGGATGTTGCGTTAGACACACTGGTGGCATCTAAGCCAAAAACGTTACTGGCCTTTCCTTTAGCCTGTCTCAACCTACAGTAAAGGGCTCAGGGTACCATTTCCTGATTGCTAAGGATGACACATCTCACTACTTGTCCTAAAACAGAATTGGGCATTTACTGATCAGAATCAATACCCCCATTCTCTAACTTCCGGGCCCTTTACAGACCATAGCCCTGGTTACTAGTTCCTTGATCCAAGCTCCCACTTGGTCCTATTACCCATACCCAGAGCTCCATGACAAGTTCCATAATTAGTCCTAGCATGAAAAGTTTGCCCAGGATTTTCCCCACTGTTATGGGCACAAAGAAGATAAAACCACAAATACAGAGATGGCCTATGGTAACATGAAACACGTGACATATCAAAACCTCCCCATGGAGGTCTAATTACTAAGGCTATGAATCTCCTCAACTGATCATCATTGAGTGTAGCCACTGTAGCTAATGTAAAGATGCTCTGGCTCAAAGCATCTCTTATCCAGCCCCTGGGGCAGCTTTGATACATGAACTGTTTTTTAATGAGGCTGTACAGAGTTGGCCAAAGGTAGAAAAGGCTGATCAAGGACGAGAAAGGGAAAGAGTCACAAGGGCAGGGGCGAGTGCCCTTCTGAAACGACACATCCTTTCCTCACCCTCATTGTTGGGGTCCAACTCTGACACCATCAAGATTGCACTGCTATCACGGATCAACAATTCTTGTATTCCTTCATTCAAATATTCCTGAACACTTGAATAGGAGTGCTTTATTGCTGTATAGGAACTGTGTATACAGTAGTGGGCAAAGCATGGTCCTTGCCCCTACAGAGTTCACATTACAATCCAGTGTTGCCCGCAGCCCTGTCACACAGACTGCCTTCAGATGCAGAAGAGAACGCGACCGGGGGGTTTCATCACCTTTGGATGAAAGGGCTCTCTCTGCATGTTGGTGTCGGTTACCTGTGGAGGACTCGCAAGTGGATGGTGTGGATTTAGTCCTGGAGGCCCTAGAATCTCCAGAAAGCTTCAGCTCCAGATTCTGAATCTTTAACATGCACCAAGTTTTTAATTCATCCACCAAGGACATCTAAAAAAACCCCACAAGTTAGTACACAAATCATCAGGAGACTTTGATACATGGCTTATGAATTAAAACCTCAAGAATGTGGACTTTTCAACTGTGATAGGCTCTTTTCTGGACAAGCCCCAAAGTTTTGGATTACCCGCCTCCCACAGGCCACACGGCCTTCTCTGTTGGCCCTCTGAAGCCCAGGATTCACCCAGTGCCCAAGCCGATAGCTAACTATGATCTTCATTAAGCGACTTAGAGACTCCTTAGACGCCAACAGCCACAGCTTCCCACGGCTTCCACGCCAAGCACGTCTGGCTGCTAGGCGCACAAACTCACTCACATGCTCACAAGTACTCATTTCACGTCTGCTGTCCGGGGTGGACCGCAAACTGCCCGAGGGCAGGAACCCAATCTTGTGCAGGCCCAGCAGGGGCGCGATACATAGCAGTGATCCAGGGCGGAGCTTGGCTTTCCAGCATGTTCTACAAACTGCCCCACCTCCACCTCCGGCCAGCACATTCAGCGCCAACAGGAACCACACTCCAGGCTCCTTCCTACTGACTTCATTTCAGGTTATAAAAATGGCACGCGCTTTGACGCCAACGCTTTTAGGGGATCTCGGCCTGGGAGTTTTCAGTGATGGGTCCGAGTCCCTTGACTCGGGGGGAAAAGAGTGGCAAGTGGCAAGGTCAGCACGGACAGATCCTGGTTTTCACCTGCCGTTTCTCTCCCTCGTGCTTCTCTGAGTCCGAGTGCTGCTGCAGGCGGTTCAGGCACTCCGTCCTCTCTGCTGAGAGTCGCTCAACCATCAGCTTGTCCAGAACCCGCATCTAGGATTCAATGGGCGAAGGGCGAGTGACTGAGATGGTCTAAGGATGGGACCTGGCATCTTGACGCCTGAGGCGGGCTCAGGAGTACCAAAGCAAGACTCCTCAGCGGAGTCTTTTCCCATGGCATTCATGGAACTCTGATTTTTCAGAATTCCTGAGCATGCTTTTGTGGAGGCCAAAGCTTCTTTTTCTCATTTAAAAGTCCAGAGGGGTTGAAGAGACTATACATACACAGTAAATAGACAACTTGAGCCAACACAGTCCTGGTAGGTAAAAAAGAATCTGTATGGGTCTTAGAACATTACTGCCAAGACTATTACTGCAAGGAAAAACTACGTCAAGGAGTATGGAGCTACCCCAGCTCCCCTTATTAAAAAATTGTCTTTTTAATCCCCCTTCCCCTTTTTAAATGTCAGTGGCTGCCCAAGAGGAAATGAAAGAAGCTGAATACTCAGGGCTTTCATCCAGCTTTCCCAGTAAACAAATCCTCTTGGCCCTTCACTGAAAGTAGTCAAAGCACATGTGAAGAAGGTTGTGGACAGAGTTCAAAGGGATTGCTTCAAGGGACTTGGCGGTTCAATGGTTAGGACTCCTCACTTTCACTGCCAAGGGTGCGGATTCAATCCCTGGTCGGGCACCACGAGCCGCATGACCAAAACAAGCAAAAAAACAAAAAAAGGGACTGTTTCAGGGAGTAAATGACTGTCACCTTCCAATCACGTGCCCCTGTGCTCCCTACTTCCTGTAGGGCTCTAACACCCAATGGGGCCACACTCCCACTGCCTGACAAGGGCCAAAGCAGAGAAGGGAACCGTTGTGAGCGGGAGCCAGCCATGGAGGGCTCAGCGGCAGCTTCGTCTCCTGTCGGGGACACAGCTGATGCTCCACACTCAGATGTCCATAATAAAAAGGCAGCAGCAGGTCTGCAGATGCGGCAAGCACCTCCTGCTTGGTTCCTCACGTTTTTCTGTGAACTGCTCTTTGCCTGTTTTCTACGACTGGCCTTTTCCGCCACCTTCTGCCCCCACTGCACGGACGAATGGCTCGGCCGAGAGCACCCAAGTGGATGCGCGAATGTGTTCCTGAGGCATGGTGGACAGGTCCGGGCATGCGCGCCTGACTCATGCTGGACCAGAGTCCTTCCCCTGAGATCTGGAATTAGGACTAAGATTCTACATCCCAATCTGTCACCTTCTTTGAACCAAAGAGAGATCCTTGAGACATCCCAGCACTCACCTAATGCATTCCTCTCTGGACCTGAGCTAGCTGAAGTGACGTTTTACTTACAAAACGGTCGTAACTAATCTATCATGGCTCAAAGATATTTAAAATGGGTTTTCTATGAAATGCAAATAACAAACCTTAAAAATTTCTCCAGTAAACAAGGAAGTAAAAATTAAACAGTCAAATGTCCTTAATCAATTGGGAAAAACTTTAAAAAATGCTAAAATTAATGATGGCAGAAGTTGGAGGCTCAGACACGGCTGGTAGGATATAAATTGGTACATTTCAATTAAGTAGCTTGCCAAAATTTATCAAGAGCCTTAAACATACTCTAAACTTTGGACCCAATTATCCTAATTCTGAGCAAATAAACTCAGATGCAATCAAAGGTTTATGCACATAAATGTTCACAGCATTTATTTGAATGAAAAACTATAAGCAACTTCAGTGTCTAACAAAAGGAATGTTTAAATACATTATGTTGTATTAATATGCTGGAATACTATGAAGCCAAGGACATGGGAAAGTGCTCATGATATAAAATTCAGTAAAAAAAAAAAGCAGGAAGCAAAAGTATGTGTATACTAATCATTAGAGAAATACAAATCAAAACTACAATGAGGTATTTTACCTCACTGTCCACCTCACACCAGTCAGAATGGCCATCATCCAAAAATCTAGAAACCATAAATGCTGGAGAGGGTGTGGAGAAAAGGGATTCCTCTTGCACTGTTGCTGGGAATGTGAATCGGTACAGCCACTATGGAGAACAGTATGGAGGTTCCTTAAAAAACTAAAAATAGAATTACCATATGACCCAGCAATCCCACTACTGGGCATATACCCTGAGAAAACCATAATTCAAAATGAGACATGTACCAAAATGTTCATTGCAGCACTATTTACAATAGCCAGGACATGGAAACAACCTAACTGTCCATCAACAGATGAATGGATAAAAAAGATGTGGCACATATATACAATGGAATAGTACTCAGCCATAAAAGGAAACGAAATTGAGTTATTTGTAGTGAGGTGGATGGACCTAGAGTCTGTCATACAGAGTAAAGTAAGTCAGAAAGAGAAAAACAAATACTGTATGCTAACACATATATATGGAATCTAAAGAAAAAAAATGGTTCTGAAGAACCAAGGGGCAGGACAGGAATAAAGATGGAGATGTAGAGAAGGGCCTTGAGGACACGGGGAGGGGGAAGGTAAGCTAGGACGAAGTAAGAGAGTGGCATGGACATATATACCAAACATAAAATAGACAGCTAGTTGGAAGCAGCCGCATAGCACAGGGAGGTCAGCTCGGTGCTTTGTGATCCCCTAGAGGGGTGGGATAGGGAGGGTGGGAGGGAGACGCAACAGGGAGGAGATATGGGGATACATGTATATGTGTAGCTGATTCACTTTGTTATAAAGCAGAAACTAACACACCATTGTAAAGCAATTATACTCCACTAAAGATGTTAAAAAAAAAAGTATGTGTATATCTCCTTGCATAGAAACAGTACACTGCCATTAAAAAGCACACCGTAGCTCTACAAGTCTAAGATGTACTACTAAATTAAAAGGTAAGCTGCAAGAAAAAGCATAGTATAGTTCCATTTTTGTTTAAAAGGAAAAATTAGTAAGGTTATATCTATAAAAGAAAAAACCTATGGGAAAATTCACAGTAATGGAAGGGATCTCTGGGGAGTGTTACTATGAAAATAGTTCTGTAGGTGGAATGTGGAATGTTTTTCCCAATGAACATGTGTTATTTTATAAGCTCTTAAAAGTCTTTCCCATTTAAAAACCTGTATCTGTCACACATTTCTTATTAATTACAAAGAGAAAGTATACCTTTACAATGGAAAGAGATGGTGGTTACCAGGTTAGCCAAATGAGACAGCCTGACATTTATCTCTTCTGATGTGATGTAATTTGAACTTTACACAGTTAAATATGATGTATTCTTGCCAAAAATATTTAACCATTGGTCTCAAACTTTAGGTTTTTACCAGCATCACCTGGAGGTCCTATTAAAACACAGGTGGCTAGACCCTGCCCCCCCCCCCCGAGTTTTATTCACAGTTAAATTCAGTAGATTTGTAATGCGGCCCAAAAACTTGCATTTTTTCCCCACAAGTCCCCAAATGATGCTGCTGCTGCTGCTTTGGGGATAACACTTTGAGGATTACTGCTCTAGACCTAACTTTCAGAAATACAGGGATAGAGAAAGAAGTTAAATAACACCATGAAGAAACTATCAAATTCAGAATACAAAACATCCTATAAAACAAATAGCCTGGACTCTACAAAGTTAATATTATGGAAGAAAACAGAAACTGCAAGAAGCAAACAGGGACTGCTCTAGATGAAAAGAGACCACAGGGACCTAACACATAACATAAAAGCACAGAATATTCATTGGATGCTGGGCTGGAATTAAAAACAAAAACCAGCTATTAAAAAAAAAAACGTTTTGAGACGTCCCTGGTGGTACAGTGGTTAAGAATCTGCATGCCGGCTTCCCTGGTGGCGCAGCGGTTGAGAGTCCGCCTGCTGATACAGGGGACACGGGTTCGTACGCCGGTCCGGGAAAATCCCACATGCCGCGGAGCGGCTGGGCCCGTGAGCCATGGCCGCTGAGCCTGCACGTCCGGAGCCTGTGCTCCGCAACGGGAGAG